TTTAAAGAGAGATCCTGGTGGCAGACTACTGGTAAAGCCTGGAGAGTGTACAGACATTCTCCAGGGGTTTGTTTAATTGTTGATGAATGCTTGGTTTCTCTCCCATCCCTGGACTGGGGTGAGAGAGAGAAACCTTGACACTGACATCTGCCAGGGAAGAATTAGCCACTGCAGATCTCTCAAGAGTGTTTTTGTCCATGGGACCATTTCAGTGGTAGAGATCATGTGGCGCAAGGGGACCCAAAAGGAACATGATGCCTGAGGTAGGCTGAGATGGAACTCGCTGAGCCAAGGCAGTTATCTGGCTGTGCCTAGTCTGGTGGAAGGAAATGTTTTCCCTCCAATGCTTCTATCACCAACCCCAAGTGAGTTAATACTAGAGTGTGTGACAAATGGCTCTTCTCAGAGTTGATCACGAACCCATGTCACCGAAGAAGGATTATTGTTCTCTGCAGGTCCTCAGCTCCATTCTCTGTGGAGGGCCTGCTCAGCTGAAGGTCATCTAGATCAGGGGTGTCAATCTGACGTAAATGTCACTTCGTTGCAGCGGACCATGTGTGCCATAAAACGTAACGCCAGGTACCATAGAGATAAACAGCATATAAAGGACAGCAGCTCGTAAGCTCAGAGATGTTTTATTCACACTGCAAGGCTCTATGTGCTGGGTGAGGTTACAGAGAAAAAAGAATGGGTGGACTGGAAAGCCAGCAGTGTAGCACTGGGCAGATGCTCCCACACTGCTTGACTGCTGCAGATGAGCTTGTTCCACCATTCTGAAGCCACAACTGGAGTGGCTCTGCCCACTCCCCTCCCCAGCAGTCTTCTGTTCTCTTGCACCAGCTGCTCATGGGCTTTATGTTTGACACCCCAAAGCTAGATAAAGGTAAGAATGGAGGCTGCTCCTCCAAAGAGCGGCCACTAATGATACAATCAATTTGGTGAAGGATCTGGGAGCCAATGCCAGACCAAAAATGGCACTGCCTGAAATTGGAAGCGCCAGTCCCAAACTGAAAATCTGAAAAACTTCCAAAATAGAAGCCAACATGGAATGTAAAGATACATCTTAGTGAGGTCTATCATGGTGATAAACAAGAAATGCCCCTGTTCAGAATTTCTACAATGGATTAAAGAGTTCCCATCCAGAACTGAATGAGCTCCAGTGGCTGGTTTAGAGACTGGGTCATTTCCCATTTGGAATGATGAAAAAGATTGAGTATACACCTAAACCACACATATCCTAAACAACACATATTTGAGGTAATCAATTCTATGTCCCCTAGCTCATTATGATGTTGGAGCTTGAAGAACTCACTGAAAACGTCTGACTGGAAGACAGAGGAGACTGCAGGAATCTTCTTGGAGGTGTAGCGAGCTCTAGCTGAAGACCCAAAAAAACTACCCAGAGGACCCACTGATCCTAAACAGACTGTACCCACTGAACGTTGAATTCTTGCAGTTGACTTCCCACCCTGAGGAAAGGCATCAGCTCTAACTGGGGCATCGCACTTTATCCTTGGAGGGTGCAGTACTGCCTGAGTGGGAACTAGACAATGAAGGCTGGAACCTGTAGGAAGAGTCCAAAAAAATCTGTTGTAGACCTGGGGGTTCCTAGAAGGTCCAAATGCCCTAGAGACCACAGAGGAAGAGCCCAAATGTCTGGATCCTCTCCTGGAGATCCTATGCTCTGAGAGTGGGAGGACCTTGTTCTTCTGTTTAGTCTCAATTAGAATACCTTCTAGGTTGTTCCCCAAGAACATGTAACCCTTGAAGGGGTACAATGCCACTATGGTCTTGGCTGAAGCTTCCATCAACCAGTTTCTCAGCCAAAAGGTGCACTTGGCAGCAACAGTAGCGCCAATGGCCCTTGCCAAACTGCACAGCAGCCAAGGTAGTATCACCTACAAAAGCCAGGACCCTCTCGGCCCTTGGGAAGTAGGAGGTGAGGCGACCTCTAGCTGAAGACCCAAATTAGGGGGGCATCAGAAACCTTTCTCTGCATCTTGCACAGCCCAAGGAATGACATACAGGCTAAAAAGGCACTAAGCTGCTGAAGCCTAGGTAGAGAGGGCACTGGTTTCAACGGGCTCTGCACAGGGCTGTGCCACTCCCACAGACTGCAGCTTCTTTAAGTGCCCCTCCTCCCTCCATGGGTCAGTGATTCAGAAGCCATATTGGCCACAGTAGCATCCACACTGGGCTACGCAGGAGTTAGTCCGCTGAAGATGGGCAGGCATGACACTTCTTAGCCTGAACCACCTGAAACCTGAAGTGAATAGGCTCATCCTATTCATTTCTCAGTACCTGGCCAGATAACCTTAAGGAAGGGCAAGACAGAGTCCACTAGTAGAGCTGGCCATAACCTCCTAGACCCTCTCCGAGTCAGGAACGCCTTCCTCCTGATGTGGAAGATCCACCGCAGGAGTAGAAAGTTTCAGGAAATTTAGAGCAGGAGCAAAAGATGAAGGAAGACTTTGGCGGCAAAAGGCTTCTTGGGCTTGGGAGGGGGGGGTGACCCTCATCACTGATCTAACCTTCCTCCTTTTTGGACAGGACAGGGTCACTACTGGAGAGAACAGGGGAATCGTCCAAACTTGGTGGTCTACTCATGAGTAACTTAACAGTCTATTTGTAACATGTAACAATCAACGCTTGCTTTCATGCAGGCTGGATGAGGACCTTGGTTGGATCCTGTCCCCCTCCCACTCTAAAGGGCAGCTTCTTATACCACTTAATACTACTGGATTAACCGCGGGGGAGGAGCACTGGTGCTTGTGGCTACTGCAATCCTTTCTGCCCACAGACCCTTCTATAAAAGATTCCAACCACCACTGGAAGCCCCCTGGAAGCCCTGGGGGGGGGGAATGGATCAGAGTACTCCTGCTCCACTTCCGATGCCGCCTTGCTCAACCCTAGTGCAGGGGGGAAAGGCATGGTCACATTCTGGCAAAAGGAAGAGTGCCCCCTCCCTCTGGCACTCGCTGCCACCTCATCCCTTACCCACTTACTCACAGAGGAAGAGGGGGAAGAGGAGAATGATTTGGGAAGAGCTCAATGTCCCAATACAGGGCCCTGGGAGCTCTGCTGGGCACATAATATTTCCTGCAGCACAGAACACGGAAGATCCCGCTGACAGCCCCATTGCCCAGCTCCCCTGCTGCTTCTGTGCAGCATTGCAAAGCTGCAAAATCCCCTGAGCTCTCCTGAGCCAAAGCACAGTTGCCTTAATGGCTTTGCAAGATAGGGGAGATCACTGAAGATAAGGATGAATGCTGTAAACCAAGACGCTGGACTTCAAAGAGAGCTCTGAAAACAAAACCACTTAAAGAGCTCTCTCCAAACACCACCTTCTCCCTAGGCAGGAAGAGAGGACTGAAGGGGAGATGGGGGAGCCTCCCCTCTGGAACAATAAAGCTGGACTTCCTGCCACCAAAAATGGAGGGACGGGAGTTCCCCCACATCTGGGTCTCCTAGTCCTTCCAAGGGAGAATGGAAGAAGCAGTGGGAGTAACATGGTATACTCTTGAACATTTAGATAACGGTGGATGTAGACACAACGGGGAAGGAAACAGGATGGATGGTAACAGTTTTGCCTGGCTGCTGCTGGTAATCAGAGAATGCCTTTAAGCGATCAGGTGGTGATTCAGAACCACTGACTTGTACCCATTCCTCAGACAGTATTTTTACACTACGAGGGTCCCCTTTATTTTGCAAAGAGCTCCTCTATTTGTACTTTTTTATGTTACTTGGGATAGGTCCATGGTTTAGTGGTGCAGCATATGCTTTGTATGCAGAAGGTCTTAGGTTCTTAGGTTCAATCCTCAGTTTAAAGGACCAGGTGGTAGGTGATGTGAAAGACCTCTGCATGACACACTGGAGAACTGCTGCCTGTCAGAGTAGACAACACTGTCGTCTCACTCAGTAGAGGCAGCTTCTTATGTTTATGAAATAAAGAAAACAACTCAGAGGTCAACTGACTGTGTTTGTGATTGCACTTGTTCAAACTTTGTCTGCTCCTTAGCTATGTTCAAGATGAAGACTAATAGTCAGTCTTACAAAGCAGTATATTCTGTACTGCTGGGAACATGACTGGAGGCCATCACAGGGAAAGGTGTAAAATGAACTATTTAGCATTTGTTGCAAAGAATGCAACTTCCTTAAGAGAAAACTACCTATACATGCTCATGAAATCACACCACACCTATGTCGTCTATTGTGCAACACAGACACATAAACCACACCTTTGCCTTCTGCTTCAACTTACCCACAGGGTTCCTAAGCATCACTTTCTGTACCTTGTTCTGCATACTCTCTCTTCCCTGTGGCCCAGATCTCCACAGCTTTCCTGTATATGAGGCATCACCTTTTCTCTACAGCCCTACAGTACTCATCCAACAGATTGCCTCTCTAGACTTGAGTTTGAATGCCTAGACTCTAGTTCACCTTGGGTCAGTCGCAAGCTCTGGCACAGCTGTCCTTGAAAAAGAGCAGTTTGTGTCAGAGTTCTCTCAGCCCCACCCACCTCACAGGGTGTCTGTTGTGGGGAGGGGAAGGGAGAGGAGTTTGTAAGCCGCTCTGAGGCTCCAAGTGAAGGGCGGGGTATACATCATCCAATCTCTTCTCTTCTTCTTCATGTACCACATTTTTCATCTAGTGAGCTGAATTAGTTCTAAGATTCTCATATAAAAGAAAAATCATATGCATTTGGCACTAAATTTGGTTCACAGAAATATTGTCATTGAAGATTTGATTCAGTGGATGCAAACTGATCATTGTTCTTATTGAATAGATGTGCCAAAGACAGCAATGTGCTGTTACATGCATTCCAGAAAAGCACAAAACGCATGGCATCTGAAGTGAGCAGTGACTCACGAAAGCTCATACCCTACCACAAATTTGTTAGTCTTTAAGGTGCTACTGGACTCTTGCTCTTTCCTGCTGCTACACACAGGCTAACACGACTACCCATCTTGACAAAACACACAGTCACTATGTACAATTACCGCCGTAAGGGAGCATTTTCCTCGATGTCTTCCAAAGTCTCCAGTGAAGACCTCTGGGAAATCAACCGTCGTCTGCAAAGGGGGAAAAAAAAAATACTTAAAGCCTCATGTAAGAGAGAGAAAAACAAAGGCAGCTCAGGTAGAATCTGATGAAGGAAGCTTTGACTCTTGAAAGGTTAAACCCCCCCCAGCACCTCCCAAATCTTGTTGGTTTCTAAGGGACTACTGGACTGGACTCCAGCTGTTCTACTGCAGACCATCACAGCTGTCCTCTGATACTATCCTAAAGGGAGCTCAGAGTTTTTTATTTAATTGCACTGAAGTGAGTTGCTGAATTGAGTTATATTTTATACAAGTCAACAGAATAAAGGGCATCTGCTTTGGTGTGGATTGTCCTTCTTACTATAAACAAAAGCAACCATACAACAAAACCTGTATCCGCAAGCCTTCAAATGGTCTCAGGCGGTGGTAGGCAAACTGCGGCTCTAGAGCCACACGCGGCTCTTTGGCCCCTTGAGTGTGGCTCTTCCGCCATAGGCGCTGATGGCCTATTCCCTCCATTGTTCTCTATGGTGGGAAAAAGTAACTTTTTCCCCACCATAGAGAACAATGGAGGGGATGGGGCAACCTGTTTGGGGGCCCGTAGAATTGGACCCCCTGGTTCAATGTTCCTGAAACATGGCGGGTATTTTGGGGAGA